TACAACTCCTTAATAGCTGCAGGAAATCAAGCTTTATACCAACATGGCAAAGGTTGTGGACAATGTTACGAGGTATATAAACTAGATGATATGTTTTACCCTTGCTAATATGATAAAACAAATTTATTTTATTATACATTTTTATAATACATTTAATAAGATAAGAAATGATGAGATCCGGATTCAAATGTACTATGTTAGATAAAGTGTAACTTGTTACTAAGTTACACATTGATCTCCTTTATCTTGTTTTGTTTATGTGTGTTTAGTTTAATAATTCTCATGGGAACCAATTGTACATTTCAGGTAAAATGCAACTCAAATCCTCAGTGTTCAGGAAATCCAATAAAAATTCATATTACAGATGAATGTCCCGGTGATTGCAACAGTGTGCCGGTTTGGTTTGACTTGGGTGGAATCGCTTTTGGTGCGTTGGCAAAGCCGGGCCAAGCTGATGCATTGCGTAATGCTGGAAAGATTAAAATTTCATACCAAAAGTAATTTTAATTTTATAACTAACGCCTCCTTTGGTGCATTAACGTACATTGATGAATTAGTTTCTAATTTGGTACAATTTGATTTTACAGGGTAGGATGTTAGGATGAAGATCAGTGTTCAAAGATGATTCAACTTCAACTCTTCAAGTGACAACAATTTGTGTTGAATTAAAATATAAGTAGTAAATTTATGGCACAAATTGTAAAATTTAATTAATTTTATTATAATAATACAAAGCTACGAATTTTGGAACTTGTTGATCGGAAATTTGTATGAGAGTATTTAGATATAATCTCTATTTTCTTCCATTAGAAAAAATAAAATTATAAAATAAAATCGTGAAGAATATATGAATATGATTAACTAGTATATTATACATAATATAATAAGGAAAATTTCCAAATACCACTCCAAAGTCGAACAAATAGTTTAATTGTGTTTGATTTTTAAAATGAATTGAAAAAAAATGAATTGAAAAAAAAAATATTTATGAACTTTTTGATCTAGAAATAAAATAAAATAAAATAAAAGTATAAAAAAAATTGAATACTTGACAAAATATAGCAATTACTTTCGCTATGTGAGAGTAAATCCATTCATAATTGTTTGACAACCGCCGACAATCCTCAAACCCATTTATATAATTGTTTCATTTTATTGTTTAATTAACATTGGAGCTGAAATTTAATTAATTGTTTATTTATACTCGAACTTCTTTTTTTTTTTTTTTTTTTGATAAACGTTTATAATCAAACAAATTTAATCAACATAAATATTTAATAGCAGTTTGTTTAAAAAAAAAAAACTAAAAACAGAATTACTGCAAATTCAATAAGAAAATTACAAAAAGTTCCCAATAAAAAATAAATCAACATGCAGGAAGAAAATAACTACAAATCTCCATTTTAAAATGGAATATAGATTTAATTGCACCTCTCAATTTCATTCAAATTGTATAAATTAAAAGATAATATAATAATTTTTACAAAAAAATAATATAATATTTAAAATATTGTAATATCACCATCTAATAATGATTATTTTCTTTAAACATATTAAATTAATATTATCTTGAAAAAAATTCTTTTTTTGAAGTCCAAAAAAAAATTCTTTTTAATCACAAAATTATTAATTTAAAATTATGATATTAAACAAATAAGTATTCTGCATATAGAGAAATATATCAAAATATTGTAATATCACCATCTAATACCGCCTCGCTAGGACTCGAACTCATGATCTCCCATTTGGGAGAGTCACATCATTCAATTTACAATTATAACAATGCTCAAATTGAGATTACACGAAATTTTTCGGAGTCATTGGGTTAAAAGATTGATAGAAAAGAAAATCTTAAAAACTCTCAATCCACTGAAATATTATATTGATCTTATAATACATATAATTGTTTACTTAGTCTAAACAAAAAAGTGCTCATAGAAAAATTCCTGTTATCAAATTTTAACTTTTTTTTTATATAAAAAAAAGAGAAGAAAAAAACCTCGTTAAATTCGAATTATATTTCAAACTAATTAATTATATTTATGCCCATCCGTCTCATTTTATATGTCTTATTAAATTAACGAGATTTGTTGTCCAACGGTTATTATAATTTCCTTCTAAGCAATAGACCCCGATTTGACTCCAGGCAAACGCAATTAATTATTCAATTTTATTTACTTCCTCTCGAAGCTCAAAAATTTTTAAACTACCAAAGAGGGTTAGTATTTTTAAGTTGATCGATTTATACTAGTAAGAATTGGGTTTAAAAAATTTACTAAGGACAACACCATATAGACTTCAAACTTTTACTTTTATACATTCAGTATAACATATATATATTACCATAAAATTACCCTAAGTTTTAAAATGACGCACCTTAAATGACAAAAACACACACCTTAATGATTGAAAATATGCACCTTAAGCTTTCAACAACTATCATGATTTAGTCATTGAGTTCTATGAGAATTTGTCTACGAAGTACATGAAGGGAGTTACAATGGTTACCTCTAAGGTGAGAGGTACAAAAATAGAATTGACACCACAAAAATAGAATTCATCCATGTTCCACTTCTCCATAACGTGCACTACAACGCACATTATGGCTGCGTTGCTTGGTCCCGGCTTGTCTCCTTATTCCGCTTTGCTCCCGGTTGTGCCACTTCGCCTCGTTTAAGCCCGAAACTTACTTGAAAACTGGTAAAATATAAAGTGCAGTGGTAATTTCCAAAATAATGTAAAACATAGTTATTTGGCACATAATTGCTACACAAAGGATTACTTTAATCCTAGAATTCACTCTAAAAGGACCTTAAATGTGTTTGTCTTTGACACTTATCAAGAAACTAGATCAACTCCTCCCTCAGATTGCACTCAGTCCTCCAAACTAGGTGGCCAGATTTCCCACTTGAGTTGTGAGCTCAGTGACTGAGTCTTGGGTAGCTTGGGACTTGTTATCTATCTTGCTATTCAGCTCCACTACGGTTGCTTCAAGCCTGCGGATGCGATCCTCCATGGGCTCTGATACCAATTGTAGTGCCTCTCCACAAAGGATAGAAGTTTGACAGAGTTTGGGAAAGAATTTAGGGTTTTAGGGAGAGAAAGAGAAGAAGAGAAAAGGGAAAATGGACTATATTTGTAACACCCCTACATTTTAAAAATATTTAAAACTTATAAAATAAAGGAAAATCTAATATTAAATCTCAAACAGAGCATAAACGAAACATAATAGTCGGGGTGCTATGCCACATCTAAGCTGGAGAACTTAGATGCACAAACTATACTAACTAACCAAACACAAATTCATAAATCCATGATTGAGTACAAACCAAGGCACGCAGGCCAACTAACTGAATCTAAGATTATCTAGACTAGATTCGGGGGATCCAACTAGCGCACTCCAAGCTACTAATTTGTACCTGAAAAACATGCGGTGTAACAACCGTCAGTGAATAATGCTGGTAACCCACTCCAACGCGATAAGTACAATATAGGTAGATATAAGAAAATCATTTTGAAACTGGAATACATATATAACTTACGAGACTCTAATTTAAATCCATGATCAAGACCTAGGACACGATAATAGACTTGACAATATAGAACAATCATAAAGACTAGCATGCGTCCTAAGAATACGATACAAGGCATAATAGACAAATAAGTTCATAAATTGCAAATAGATACAACAAGGACATTCAAAGACAATCAATTAACAAGTAATTAAAGTTTATATTAGTTCTTAGTTTTCTCCTAAAGACTTGTTCTAATATGATCTAATACCTATATATATGTGTGTGTGTAATTTTTCTTATACATAAAGAGGACGTTTTGGATTAAATTAGGAAATATAGTGATGTCCTATTAATTACCATACAACATTTCGTAGCATAATGTATCATTTTACATTATTTAATTTTTATAGTACAACTTATTAGCTTATTATTTTATATAAGATGTTTAACTGTTACCTTTTTTTATATGTATAAAGTATTTAATATGTTTGATTTGATTTTAGTGATAAGAAGCTTATTTGTCCAAAAATATATGGGTCACACTAGTGTGAGATCGTCTCATTGATCTATATCCGTGAGACAAATTGAGTCATGTCAGGTTGGGTCAATATGAAAATATAATACTTATATACTGAAAAATATAATGGTAATAAGTAATAAAATGTTTGTTAATTATAAGGGACGTGTAATATTTTTGATGAAAAATGTAATACTTTTAAATCAAATGTAAACATATTATATTTTTTCTTAAAAAATATTACACTTTCTCTTATAAGTAATATTGACAAGTGTTTCTACAATCTACAAATTTAATAAGAGCCAATATTGTTAGACCCTTAACGGGAACTAAAAAAATGTCGGTACAACAATATGCTCTAAAAGATTGTACTTTGCGCTCTTTTAATTGTACAATGCCAAATTAAAAACCTAATATAACCCCATTCTTCTTAGTTTTAGCAAACCTAGAATGTTAAACTTAACAGATTCTGTCAGATTGAAGGCACGGTGGCAAATTTGTAGTTTAAGCCAAATTGAATGTTAGTTACGAGAAGCACATCCGTCCGCTTGTCGTAAAGAGAATCACAGCAAAGAAATTAGGCCGGAGAATCACAGTAAACAAATTAGGGCAGCAACACAAGCGGACGCGGTCTCGAAAGGAGAAACACGCTTTGTCGAAAGGAACATCACAACCAAAGAAAAATTCGAAAGGAGAAGCACAAGCCGATTTGGTCTCTTTGCGTTTAATATGAAATTATGTACAATTATGCTGTCTATTGTAAATTTTAGCATTTGAATGGAGTTTTCTAGGAGGTTTGAGTGTTAGTAAATGGTGTTCTACCATCGCGGGCACTCCTATCATGGTGTTTTTTTTTACTGTATTTCTATTTTGTTCATATTGCCCGTCCCTATTACAAAGGATAAGATATGTGAAAGACTAACTCATAAAGCTTAAATAAAGATAAATAGGGTGACATTCATATAAGAAAATGATGTCATCGTCTTTCTTCCTGGGATAGCAAGTTATGCGCTGCGCCAAGTGAAATACCTTTCCTCAAAGAAATTTCTTCAACAACCTTCTCCTCTGCAAATAGTTTAGCCTTGTATTATCATTATATATAATAACAAATTTATCATAATATAGAGTTGTAATTTCTTCTACTACTCCGGTCACCCTTTTCTTGTGCTAATACATAGTGCTTCATTTTTCTTCATCTATCAGTTTGCTGCAAGGACTTTTGACCTGTTCTAGGATTATCTTCACATTTCATATTTTTCTTGATGTATTTTATGTTAGGGTTTGGTTGCAGAGAGAAAGAGAAATTTAGTTGAGAGTCATGAAAGATATAAAGAAAATTTATTTAGATTGTTTTTATGATGATTATGGATTATTGACTATCGTTAATTATAAACCATAATTATTGTAATCCATAACCATTAGTTTTGTCAAACAGGCATGCTATAAATATTCACTTGAGATGCATTTAAAAATTTCTCTTGTATAAGGAATATTGATTCTTAAATAGTACAAGTCTAGGTCTTATTATTAAAAGTTGATGGACTAATAGTATGGCCGGTATGATGAATCTCTTTTAGCTGAAAAAAGAAAACAGTTGATTTTGTTAATATCTGTCAGGACATCAAATCAGGTTCCTTGTTGGATGATCCAAACTTTTTGGATGCAGGTGTTATTCCTCTATCTGTTGTCCTGAAGCAATTATCTGTCGCTATTGAGTAAGATATGTTTTAGCATTTGAGATATTCTTTCTACTATATTTACAATTGTATCTAAACTGTAATGTCTCACTCTATTTACAGTTTGATGCCTTGAAAGGATCTCTACGATACTTCAGTCTGATTCCCCCTGGAGGATGTGGGATTTTGACACATTCTTTGGCTTGGGTTGCATCTTGGTTAAAGGTATGTGCAGTATAACAACTACTACTAACTATTGTATTATGATTGTTGCTCAAATTTACACCTATCTTTTGATTTTGTGAGCGGATTTCAGGTTACACAGGTTGACATAGATCTTTAGATTGATCTTTTGTGGAATCAGCTGTGCAGTACTTGTGTTCCCATCCCCTGAAACTGAAGGACTAGACCTCCACCTAGGCAGTACGAATGGTTAAAAGAGGTGAATGAGAAATTTAGCAGTGTTGAAAGAATGGTTAGCTAATCATTACACAAACATAATACACCAATGCTAATCTAAAAACACATAATAGGTTTAAACTTGACGTGGAAATTACTATGGAAGTGGATGCCTTGTTGCATCCGTGTTTGGGAAATGTGCTGAACAATTATTACTCTTAACCAGCAAACAAGTTATGCAATTGGAACAACATGCACTGCTCCTCTTCCAACTACAATCACTCGTGTTTTATACTAAATTAACCTATGACTAACTACATAAACATCTTGCAGGGTCAACAGCTACGAATTCAACATATTAATAACCGCTTACAAGATCAAGAATATATAATACAATTGAGGTCCCAATCCTATACACAACAAGGCAAAAACATGGTATCATAAACCATAACATCATTGCACGAATCGTTCTCATTCACTACCACCAATAAACAAAATGCAATACAGACACAACCAGAGAAAAGGAAACTCAACTTCATTAAAGATGGAGAAGATGAAGACAATTCCAAGCCTCAACAAACGCACACTAATAAAAATTAATTTACTATGCTCAAATTACTCTTTTCATGATAGATAGTCAGCTTTAGTTAGTGGTTTATTTGTTTTCACTTTAGTTATAACTTAGCTATTTCAAATTTCTTTATGTTTTTATTATAATATAAGCACCGAGACTATTTCTTTATCCTTTATTAATTTCACATTTTTCTCTCTCATTATTATATGAATACTTTAACCAATTAAGGAACACTAATTGATAAATACACATTGAGTATTGGTCTAATTGCGCAAAGCACGTGTAATAACTAGTGTTATTTATAAGGGAGAATGTAATACTTTTTAAAGAGGATGTTTTTGAATAAATTAGGAAATATAGTGAATTCCTATTAATTACCATATAATTAACGTACATTTGCTAGCATATTGCATCATTTTACATTATCTAATTTTTATAGTACAACTTACAAGCTTATTATTTTATACAACATATTTAATTATTAACTTTTTTTTATATGTATAAAGTATTTAATATGCTTGATTTGATTTTAGTTATAAGCAACTTATTTGTCCAAAAATATATAAATCAGATTTGGGTAAGACCGTTTCATAAATCTATATCCGTGAGGCAGATTGAGTCGGATTGGATTGAGTCAATATGAAAATGCAAGTAATACTTATACTAAAAAATGTAATACTAATAAGGAAAAAAAATATTTGTTACTTATAAAAGAATACTACTTTTGATGAAAAATATGATACTTTTAAATCAAATGTAAAAATATTATATTTAAAAAAAAAAAATATTACACTTTCTCTTATAAGTAATGATGACAAGTGGTTGTTACTTAAGACAAAATGTAATACTTTTGAAGAAAAAATATGATACTTTTAAATCATAACGTAAAAGTATTATATTTTTCTTCAAAAGTATTAATTACACTTTCTTTTATAAGTAATAAACACTTTAATCTGGGGGTGTAGTTGAGTGGAAGGGAGTCATCCATCCTTAACGAAAGGTCAATGATTCGATCTTGGCTTTAGGTATGGAGCAGCCTTACAGGCCAGCTGTCCCACTCAAAAGATGTGCCTACAATAAACACTAATGGCCCGTTTGGTTCACGGAATAGGCCGGGAATGGCATAGCATTCCCAGTAATAAGCCTATTCCGTTGTTTGGTAACCATTTCTATTACCAGGAATAATATTCCTGGTAATAGCCTATTACCTCAAACTTGGTAATAGCTATTACTAGGCCCCCCTGGTATTAGCCTATTACTGAACAATCAGGAATAGATTTTAGAATCTATTTCTTATTTAACCATTTCTTTAACCTAATTTTTTTTATCCTATATATAAATTTATCCTATTTCACCACCGTTGTCGCCACCACCACCGTCACCACCGCCGCTGCCACCACCACCACCACCATCGCCACAACCGTCGCCGCCCTCCCCCCAGCACCGCCGCCCCCAGCACCACCACCGCCACCACCACTATCACCACCACCACCACCACCGCCACCACCATCGCCACCGCCGCCCCACCACCGCCACCACCAGAACCACCACCCAGCAGCACCACCGCCACCACCACCACCACCACCGCCACAACCGTCGCCGCCCCCACCACCACTGCTACAACCGTCACCGTCACCACCACCACCATTGCCCCCACCACTGCCACCGCCACCACCACCACTACCACCCCAGCACCACCACTACCAGCCCAGCACCACCAATACCGCCCCAGCGCCACCACCACCATCACCACCACCGCCACCACCATCACCACCACCACCACCATCACCGCCACTACCACCACCGCCACTACCACCACCACCATCGCCACCATCACATATTTTTATAAGGGTATTTATGTCTTTTAAAACATATTTCATTTCTATTCCTTAAATCAACCAAACACTGTAATATAATTCCTAAAGTCTATTCCTTTCGCGAACCAAACAATAGAATACAATTCGTATTCTATTCTTTGGCTATTCCATCCATTCCTTATGGAATAGCATTTCTATTAACTCAAAATTCATTCTGTGAACCAAACTTGTTGTAACACTTCATTCCTAGTTAGTATTACACTTTTCAATATAAATATGACATAAATTGCCCGAACCGTCTCACAAGTCACGAACAAGGATCCGTGAGACGATCTCAAGTTTTTGCCAAAATATTTAACTTTTATCAAATAGAGAATTATATTGGTTTGAATTATATTGGGAATAATATACATACAAAGAAGGAAAATTCTACATATAATTAAAAGATTGTACTTAATAATTAAATAGAAAAAAAATCAATCAAGTAACATTAGATTAAAAAAAAAGGAATAGTATGCAAGGGTTGCATTCAAATACAAACCCGCTTAAAATACAAACTCCCATAAAATACAAACTTGAGCTCGTGCACACATTAACATACTTACATGCACACAGGGCGCACTGCCAACAATTTTTGGGATTAGCTCGTGCACACATTAACATACTTACTTGCACACATCGCGTGGAACGAAAAATCACAACCATCCATCAAAGCTCGTGCACGCATCAACATACTTACATGCACACTGCGCTTAGGAAGAAAAAATCACAACCATCCATCAAAGCTCGTACACACATTAACATACTTACATGCACACAATTTTTGTTTTAAGGGGAGTTTGTATTTGAAAACAATCCTCTCTCTCTCTCTCTCTCTCTCTCTCTCTATATATATATATATATATATATATATATATATATATATATATAGTGAAAGGTTCAGGTGCGGTTGAATGCTTCCCGTGCGGTTCTTTTCTGGCATTTCACTGAAGAAATACACAGACTCATCTAATCCTTCTCGAGTTCACAAACTTACTTTTTTTGTTTGTGTGCTTAATATGCGTGTATTTGTACTTTAAGTGCGTCAGAGTAATACTTAACGTGCGTCCAACCGCACAATCGCACGGGAAGCCTCAAATGCACCTGATCCCTTCCCTATATATATATATATATATATATATATATATATATATATATATATATATATATATATATATATATATATATATATAATTTATTTATATTTTTTATTCATTAATAATAATATTATAATCATTATTATTTTTATTATATATTTTGTATACGGGTATTTATGTTTTTTAAAAACATATTCCATTTCTTTTCCTTTAACTAACAAAACACTGGAATACAATTTTAAAAGTCTATTCTTTCACTGAAACATAAAATATAATACAATTTCCGTTCCATTTCTTACCTATTCTATTCCTTATGTAATAACATTCCAATTCTCTCAAAATTCAATCCGTTCACTAAACATGCGGCAAGAGTTTTGTTTTTAATGCGTATTTTTTTATTACATATCTTATCTTGTTTGATATGAAATCTATGCATCATTCGTTTATTGGCAACAAAACATTTGCCCTTTCACTTATTATTATATTGACGTTAAAATATACTGAGTAGTTATAATAGAAATTTTATTATGAAAACCTAATTGTAGAATTTTATTTTGTAATTATTATTTTATCCAAACTAACCTATTCGGCTAATGGTTAAATTTAATCTTTTGAAACACAATACCTACTAAGTTCAATGCATTTAAAAAAATGTATGCTAGATAATAACGTTATTATCATAAAAATTAAAATATCATCCTCTAATATTTATAGGATTTATGTGTTTATTTATTTATTTTGATCATTTAATTTTACTATATTTTTGTTGTTTATTGGGTATTATTCAATCACACATGGTGCATATTAACCATTAGTGCTTCAAGAAATACTTATATAATTTGTGGAAGAAACAATTATATAATTAATTAGTTCTAAAAATATAAGTAAACTACAAAATAAATAGCAAATTATTTTAGGTTACAAGAATTTATCCCACAATTAATGTTGATATTATGTAAAATTATAAAAAAGAAGTAAAATCATATTAATATAAACGTACCTCTTGATATAATAATTAATACGTAAGAACATATATAGTAATTAATTTAGTTAGTATAATAAGATTACCAATTTCAAATTATTTGGTTAGAATTCACACCACATTGTTCTTGTTGTGTTCTTCACTCTCTTTAACTTTTGTTTATGCAGAAATTCGATTAATAATATAACTTTAGCTGGATTCGCCCCTACAACTGCAACATGGTACGGTCCACCCAATGGACATGGAACTGGTATATATTTATTTATTACGAGTATATTGTATATATGTATTAGATTATTATATTTCTCTGATATCATTGTGTGAGGCACAATATATTATTACTTTTAATATTTTAATTACATTAATTTGTAGATACTGGAGCTTGTGGATTTGGAAATGTAGGCAATCCTCCATACAACTCCTTAATAGCTGCAGGAAATCAAGCTTTATACCAACATGGCAAAGGCTGTGGACAATGTTACGAGGTATATAAAGTAGATGATATGTTTTACCCTTGCTAATATGATAAAACAAATTTATTTTATTATGCATTTTTATAATACATTTAATAAGATAAGAAATGATGAGATCCGAATTTAAATGTACTATATTAGACAAAGTGTAACTTGTTACTAAGTTACACATTGATCTCCTTTATCTTGTTTTGTTTCTGTGTGTTTATTTTAATAATTCTCATGGGAACCAATTGTACATTTCAGATAAAATGCAACTCAAATCCTCAGTGTTCAGGAAATCCAATAAAAATTCATATTACAGATGAATGTCCCGGTGATTGCAACAGTGTGCCGGTTTGGTTTGACTTGGGTGGAATCGCTTTTGGTGCGTTGGCAAAGCCGGGCCAAGCTGATGCATTGCGTAATGCTGGAAAGATTAAAATTTCATACCAAAAGTAATTTTAATTTTATAACTAACGCTACCTTTGGTGCATTAACGTACATTGATGAATTAGTTTCTAATTTGGTACAATTTGATTTTACAGAGTAGGATGTTAGGATGAAGATCAGTGTTCAAAGATGATTCAACTTCAACTCTTTCAGTGACAACAATTTGTGTTGAATTAAAATATAAGTAGTAAATTTATGGCACAAATTGTAAAATTTAATTAGTTTTATTATAATAATACAATGCTACGAATTTTGGAACTTGTTGATCGGAAATTTATATGAGAGTATTTATAAGATATAATCTCTATTTTCTTCCATTAGAAAAAATAAAATTATAAAATAAAATCGTAAAGAATATATGAATATGATTAACTAGGATATTATACATAATATAATAAGGAAAATGTCCAAATAACATTCGAAAGTCAAACAAATAGTTTTTTTTTTTGAATGCAAACAAATAGTTTAATTGAGTTTGATTTTAAAAAAATCTAAATTCATACATCTTGAACTGGTATAAAAATGTGATTGAATCATAATCTTATTTGTTAAGAGGATACACATGATTTGTTGACTGAATTTTCATACGCACTATATATTATTCAAATGTTGCGACATGGCTTAAGGTTAAAATTAATTGAAAAAAAAATATTTATGAACTTTTTGATCTAGAAATTAAATAAAATAAAATAAAAGTATAAAAACAAATTGAACACTTGACGAAATATAGAAATTACTTTCTCTATGTGAGAGTAAATCCATTCATAATTGTTTGACAACAACCATGGCAATCTTCAAACCCATTTATATAATTGTTTCATTTTATTGTTTAATTAACATTGGAGCTCTATTTCAAAAAACATTGGAGCTCAAATTTAATTAATTGTTTATTTATACTCAAACTTTTTTTTTGATAACTGCTTATACTCAAACAAATTTAATCAACATAAATATTTAATAGCAGTTTTTTTTTTTTTTTTAAAACTAGAAAACAGAATTACTGCAAATTCAATAAGAAAATTACAACAAATTCACAATAAAAAATAAATCAACATGTAGGAAGAAAATAACTACAAATCTCCATTTTAAAATAGAAGTGGAAAATTGTCTGAAATTGCTTTACAAGTGAAGAAGAAGCCTCTGGTGCACACGGGCCTAGCCAACGGCCCACGAGGGGAACCGCTTGCTAGATCCGTGACGGCACGACCCTAGGCAAGGGCCGTGGCCCTAGGCTGCCGCCGGGCGGTCCTAGGCGGCGGGGCTCCTCTAGCCTCGCCGCAAGTTTCGTTTGGTTTTGTTCGTGTAGTGGCCGGGCTCTTGTGGCTCAGCTACATATCGTTTCAGACCGGGTGTCACGGGCCCTTGTGGCGCGGTACCTTGGGGCCGTCATGACGCACGTTTGGACTTTGATTTCATTGAATTTGGATTAGAAATGAGCATTATATGAAAATTTTGTGAAGCAATTGTGTTACAGTAATGTTCCAGTGTGGGAAAATTAGAAGCATCAGACTTGGTTTTGCCTATGTGATCTGTATGATGTTATTTGATTGTTAAATTGAGAAGCATGATCACTAATTATTTAGGTTTTGTTAGAAGAGCATGCGTAAACTGTATTTTATGATTCATTGAGATTATTATCAGGTTTCAATTGATGAAGTGTACATAGCATGTTTTTTTGAATTTCAAGCGTGTTTAAGTGTCCTTTGAGAGTTAACAGTAATATATAGAATTGAAGTATGTTGTACAGTAAATTGCATTTCTAGCATGTCATGTTTTAAAAATGCATAAGTGGTTATCGTGAGCCTAAGTATTATTTTCCAAAACTCATGAACATGTGGAAAGGCATTATCTTGTTGCATTGAGAATTTGTTGAGAAGTGACGAAACTCACGCACCTTAAGTACAAAACTCGCGCACATTACTTACCGCACAACCGCACGGGAACATAATTATATATATATATATATATATATATATATATATATATATATATATATATATATATGTTTATATATGTATATATATAATTTATTTATATTTATTTATTCATTAATAATAATATTATAATCATTATCATTTTTATTATATATTTTGTATAGGGTATTTATGTTTTTTAAAAACATATTCCATTTCTTTTCTTTTAACTAACCAAACACTCGAATACAATTTTAAAAGTCTATTCTTTCAGTGAAACACACAATAGAATACAATTCCAGTTTCATTTCTTACATATTTCATTCCTTATGTAATACCATTCTAATTCTCTAAAAATTCATTCCGTTCAATAATCGTGCAGCAAGAGTTTTGTTTTTAATGTGTATTTTTTTTATTACATATCTTATCTTATTTGATATGAAATCTATGCATCATTCATATATTGGCAACAAAACATTTGCGTTTCATTTATTATTATATTGACGTTAAAATATGCGGAGTAGTTATAATAGAAAATTTTATAATGAAAACCTAATTGTAGAATTTTATTTTATTATTATTATTGTATCCAAACTAATCTATTCGGCTAATGGTTAAATTTAATCTTTTGAAACACAATACGTACTAAGTTCAATGCATTTTACCAGGACTATGTGGTCTAATAGTATCCGGGTTGGACTTCCATTTGGAAGATTATGAGTTCGAGCCTCTGTGGAGGCGTTATTGGTTCTCTGTGTTTCAGTAGGTTGAGAAAGTATATGAACAGATACTACAATGTAATAGAGCAGTAGCTTTCAAAAAAAAGTTCAATGCATTTTAAAAAAATTATGCTAGATAATAATGTTTTTATCAAAAAAATTAAAATATCATCCTCTAATATTTATAGGATTTATGTGTTTATTTATTTATTTTGATCATTTAATTTTACTATATTTTTTTTGTTTATGGGGTATTATTCAATCACACATGTGCATATTTACCATTAGTGCTTCAAGAAATACTTATATAATTTGTGGAAGAAATAATTATATAATTAATTAGTTCTAAAAATATAAGTAAACTACAAAATAAATAGCAAATTATTTTAGGTTACAAGAATTTATCCCACAATTAATGCTGATATTATGTAAAATTATAAAAAAGAAGTATAATCATATTAATATAAACGTACCTGTTGATATAATAATTAATACGTAAGAACATATATAGTAATTAATTTATCCTTTAAATAATAAAGCTATATGGTTTGGAAAATAATTAATATTATAATTAATGCCACAACATCCTTTATTATAAAAAAAAAAACACAATATTTAAAAAATAAAATAGCTATATATTTTATAATCATATAAAAAATATACTTTTGAAAAATAAAATAGCTATATATATTATATAATCATATAAAAAATGTGTTCAATTAGAGTTTAAATTTACACATACAAAATTTGAAATTTGCTTTCCAAATGTAATTATCTTAGTTATTATTCGTATTGTGAAAATTATAATATAGATGAAATACAATTAAGAATAAATCAATTATGTAAATTCTCTCTATAAGTTTATTTGAATATGCAAATAAGTAGGGATTATATTAACCATACAAAATTATAATTTTAATATTAATTTTAATTTTAATTGTAATTTTATATTCTATTAAAATAATAAATACTTAACCAATGGAAGCTCAAAATATTATTATATTAAATAATTTAAAATATTTTAGTTTTTCTATTTTTATTTATATTTATAATAACATTAGTTTTTCCCATGCATCGCGCGGGTGAATCCTTTATATAATAAAGCTATATGGTTTGGGAAATAATTAATGTTACAATTAATGCCACAACATCCTTTATTATAAAAAAAAAAGCACAACATTTTAAAAATAAAATAGCTATATATTATATAATTATATAAAAAATATACTTTTGAAAAATAAAATAGCTATATATTATGTAATCATATAAAACATGTGTTCAATTAGAGTTTAAATTTACACATACAAAATTTAAAATTTGCTTTCCAAATATAATTATCTTAGTTATTATTCGTATTGTGAAAATTATAATATAGATGAAATACAATTAAGAATAAATCAATGTAATTATGTAAATTGTCTCTATAAGTTTATTTGAATATGCACATAATTAGAGATTATATTAACCACACAAAATTATAATTTTAATATTAATTTTAATTTTAATTGTACTTTTGTATTCTATAAAAATAATAAATACTTGACTAATGGAAGCTCAAAAATATTATTATATTAAATAATTTAAAATATTTTAGTTTTTCTATTTTTTATTTATATTTATAATAACATAATTTTTTTTCCGTGCATCGCGCGGGTAAATTACTAGTTTAGTATAATAAGATTACCAATTTCAAATTATTTGGTTAGAATTCTCAATTTGTGGTAAGTGCAAGGAATTGTACATTCTACACAACGTTATGTAATATAGGATTGTATGGTAAGTAGATAAAATTCGTTTATTATATAAACGTCACTTTCAAAGTCCAATTTTTCCAATAGAATGAAAGTAAAAACTAGTCATGACTTCTTCACACCACATTGTTCTTGTTGTGTTCTTCACACTCTTTAACTTCTGTTTATGCATAAATTCGTTTAATAATATAACTTTAGCTGGATTCGCACCTGCAACTGCAACATGGTACGATCCACCCAATGGACGTGGAACTGGTATATATTTATTTATTACAAGTATATTATATGTATTAGATTATTATATTTCTCCGATATCATTGTGTGAAGCACAATATATTATTACTTTTAATATTTTAATTACATTAATTTGTAGATACTGGAGCTTGTGGATTTGGAAATGTAGGCAATCCTCCATACAACTCCTTAATAGCTGCAGGAAATCAAGCTTTATACCAACATGGCAAAGGCTGTGGACAATGTTACGAGGTATATAAAGTAGATGATATGTTTTACCCTTGCTAATATGATAAAACAAATTTATTTTATTATACATTTTTATAATACATTTAATAAGATAAGAAATGATGAGATCCGAATTCAAATGTACTATATTAGACAAAGTGTAACTTGTTACTAAGTTACACATTGATCTCCTTTATCTTGTTTTGTTTCTGTGTGTTTAGTTTAATAATTCTCATGGGAACCAATTGTACATTTCTGGTAAAATGCAACTCAAATCCTCAGTGTTCAGGAAATCCAATAAAAATTCATATTACAGATGAATGTCCCAGTGATTGCAACAGTGTGCCGGTTTGGTTTGACTTGAGTGGAATCGCTTTTGGTGCATTGGCAAAGTCGGGCCAAGCTGATGCATTGCGTAATGCTGGAAAGATTAAAATTTCATAACTAACGCTACCTTTGGTGCATTAACGTACATTGATGAATTAGTTTCTAATTTGGTACAATTTGATTTTACAGGGTAGGATGTTAGGATGAAGATCAGTGTTCAAAGATGATTCAACTTCAACTCTTCAAGTGACAACAATTTTTGTTGAATTAAAATATAAGTAGTAAATTTATGGCACAAATTGTAAAATTTAATTAATTTTATTATAATAATACAATGCTACGAATTTTGGAACTTGTTGATCGGAAATTGATATGAGAGTATTTATAAGATATAATCTCTATTTTCTTCCATTAGAAAAAATAAAATTATAAAATAAAATCGTAAAGAATATATGAATATGATTAACTAGGATATTATACATAATATAATAAGGAAAATTTCCAAATAACACACCAAAGTCGAACAAATAGTTTAATTGAGTGTGAGTTTTTAAAAAATCTAAATTCATACATCTTCAACTGGTATAAAAATGTGATTGAATCATAATCTTATTTGTCAAGAGGATACACTTGATTTGTTGACTGAATTTTCATACGCACTATATATTATTCAAATGTTGCGACATGGCTTAAGGTTAAAATTAATTGAAAAAAAAATATTTATGAACTTTTTGATCTAGAAATTAAATTAAATAAAATAAAAGTATAAAAAAATTGAACACTTGACGAAATATAGCAATTACTTTCGCTATGTGAGAGTAAATCTATTCATAATGTGAGATTTAAATATACAGAACATAATCTACGAGAAACTTAACTCGTAGTAGCGAAAGCGGAAGCACGGTAGATCTCCAGCCATGGTTGATATCAAGTTGTGTTGCCTCTTGAACGGTAGATCTGCAGAATAGGGTTAGCCGTTTTGTCTCATACTTGACTCAGAACCCTAGATGGTGTACTGGTATTGTCTGAGCAGTATGAGTACCATATAATATTCATGTATTTTGTATCCCATCAATACAAGCTTTATATAGGCACATTAGTGGATATAAGACTTAAACCTAAAGGTCCAACCCAACCAATTACTTAATGGGCCTAATCCACTTGCACCACATAAATAAGACCCATAATATATAATATATATTATATAGGAAAGTCTTCCAGTCTCCCACTTGGTGCAAGTACTAGCACAATTGTCATTAAAGAACGAAACACACGAATCATAGTAATATGTCCTCTACTGAATAAGTGAGTAATATCTCCTGTGATCACATGCATTTTGATTCCCCAACTTGAATCCTATATGAACAAACCCAACGTTTATTCTTGGTACCTTAAGGGATGTTTCTCAAAATAAAATATATATGCGCAACTTAAGAGAGAAAACCATCCAAATTGTACAAAAGAGTACACTGTATGATCTCTAAAGATTGTAGATTCACCTACGGTTAAGGCTTTAAATTGATGAATTAAGTTAACGGACTAAACGTGCTTAAATTCAGGTACTACTGCAACTAAAGTTTATGCATTAGTCCAACTTAAATAGGAACTAATATAATTCCATCCTAAATTTATGCATTTCTAAAGGCATAATAAGACAAAATTGCATAATTTAAAATAGAATATTATGCTTAGGACAAATATGCATAAAAATAAACATTAAACTCATATATTCCAAACAAATTGCATAGTTCAAAACAATTTACAATATGAGATTTCAATAATTTTGAAATTTTAAACTGTAAGCCCCATGACAAAATGTTTTAATGCATAAAGATCAAATTTATGAGAAATAACTGAATTCACAAATTATAACAATATCAAGCCAAAAGGATATGTTTTCATTTGTAAATCAAAATCTCACAAAACTTAATTGCATAATTAAACTTAATATTATGCACTTAATATGATCAAATGCATAAAACAACCGTTCAAAGAGTATGAATCATACATAACCAAATATGGACAATAACATTAATCATAATTCAAAGACTAATTGAATTATTGAATAAATCTAACTTCTAACTCTATAATAAAGCAAGAAGTTTTGCCAATCATTGTTTCCCGCCCAATGAAAACGACGCAGTTTTGGTTTATTGATATTTATCCATCTAAGAGGTTATTTGTTCTGCGCGTGTTATGTGATTATGCATTGGTAGTACGCACAGCCGTTTTCAAAAGGCAACTATTCGTATTAACTTAGCATACACTCCTTGGTTCCCAAGGAGTTCAATTAATGTAGAACTCTTGGAAGTTTAAACAAAATAAATATTAGAAACGCATCAGGCCTACAATTTCGAAGATACATGCAAGTAAATAACAAGAGAATATTATACATATTACACGGAATATGCAGAGTTGCAATCTGCAAATACACATTCAATGAGATGTGCGAATTCCAAAACATTGGCTGATGATCAAAATCAATGGTAAATTTGAATTATGAACCTGTATAAATACCCCGGTTCTTCATGGCAAAAATCCTTCACACATTAAGTTCAGTTTACTTCCTTTTCGAAATAGTATTGGTCTGTCAAGATGCCAAGCCTGTTCGTTGCTGTCAAGAATATCAAGTCGGAACACCAGCTCAGGGCAATCCAGGTGAGAGCAGTAAGGGTCTATGAAGTGCCTGAGAAAAGGGGAGAAGGGCAGGCCAGTAAGAGCATGGAAGTATTGTTCCATGATGAAGAGGTAGTGTTCTTTATTTTCAAAAAATCATATTCATGCTATCTACAAATCTAATGGTCTATAAATGTGTATAAATTTTTTTTAGGTTTTTGCCGGGGAGACTACATTCATGATATGCTATCTACTAACCTAATGATCTTTTGCTGTGTAAAATTTTTTGTCTATTTTATTCGCAGGGAGACTACATTCATGCCAGTATTATTAAAAAGGACATTGGAAAGTATAGAGATATAATCAAAGAAGGGAAAGTATTTGAAATCAAGAACTTCAGGGCTTCTACAAACTACTATGTCTACAAGATTACAGAACATGACTTCCTAATCAAATTCAACTATAGAACACAAGTGAAGGAGATACATTCTAATGGCTTTCCTTACAAAATGTTTCGGCTAAAGAGTTTTTTGGCTTTGAAAGATCCTGTTGATGTGAATGACAAGGAATTGATTGGTACTATCTTTACTTTTTTAACTACTAATATCTTCCTTAATCTATTTTTAGTAGTGTTTCTAATATTTTGTTAAATTGGCAGATGTGATTGGAAGGGTGGTTGAGGAGGAAACAAACAGTGATGCAATCTCTGAAGTAAGCCTTTCATAGCCTTACTGCTCTAGAATATTTTTTTTTTTTTTTTATGATGGTGGCTAAATTGGTTTACTGATTTTGTTAATAATAGGAAGCCTCTATTGGAGTGGAAGTTAATAGTCCTGCCTCTATTCAAGCCTCACAAAAGGAAGTAGATGACAATGCTGACAACTCAGGAGATATTAAAAGGTCACTTTTGGATGAGTTTTCATCATCCAAAAGTAGGAAGAAGTTGAAGGAAGCACAAATTAAAAAGGAAAAAATGTAATTGTGACCTTGGTTGAAACTGATTGTTGTGGACCTGCCCTATCCAGACTTAAAGACTGATTTTTTTTTTTGTTCTTATTATGGTTTATTTAATCCTGATGATCTCTGAACAATATTTTTAGTTCTAATCCTGTTGATCCCTCATTATTAAAGATTATTTTTTGGATATTTTCTAATTATGGTTTACTGTCTTGATGAGATTGCCTAACTCATTGTTACCATATTGCCTAACTCATTGTTACCATATATTGGTGCCTCTACTGCTACTATTATAACCTGTTTTGCAGATTTTCTAACTTCATTTCAAGTGATTGGGAAGGATGAGAGGTTTTAAAATGCAGAAACAAGGGACAAAATTTGGCAAGGAACTTATACTTTGTAGATGTAGTTTTGTATAGGTTCCATTAGATATTAAACTTCTCCTATAAAACTGTGTAAAGATACTAAGAACATTGAATGTCAAGAACTTTTTAAAACTTTCTAATACAAGTATAACCTCTTAGAACTAAATAACTTGTGCCTAAAATATAAAGATAGGTTTACTCACCTATTTGCAAGTTCTTCTTTTACTGTGTTTGCAACTCTCAAATCTAATTTTGGTCCATGCTGGTTTCCACCAAAAACTGCTAGCACATATGAAAATGAATTAATACGCATCACTTAAGTGAAATCTTTGTAATACAAAATAAAGTTAACTAAAATTAACAATAAAATTGTTCAACTTCAGAATCTAAGTACTAATCTTAGGTTAAGCTTTCAAAGAATCCATATTGAGAAACAAACTACTAATCATAGGGTAGTGCCTGATTCTTAATCTACCAAATCTATTGGTTCCAATAAAGCACAGTAGCATAGAAACACTCAATCTGTTAGAATATCCTTAAATTAGAAGAAATACTTTGATACTACACCTAACTTTAATCTGCCAGAATAAAAAAAAAAAAGCAATTTAAAAAAAAAAAAAATCTAAGTCAAAAAAATTTGGAAAACATCCTTAACTTTTGAAATATTTTTAAATGTGGTGCAATTTAAATAATACAGTAAGTACTGCTCTTAGGTTAAGCTTCAGGAATTATTTATGTATCTAAATAGTTTCATTACTCTACCAAAGCTCTTAATTGTTCTATAGAATGACTTATATATATACACTAGAAGACTGATAGCTGAAACAAAGAATTCCAAAAAGTATTGGATTAATGGTATATTCATCCAACAATCAAAGAAAGGGCCAATTTGAAGTATATGAATTGGGTCTAAAATTGAGGACAATTTGTTAACAAAATTCTGTTTAATTAAAAGTTTCTATTGCCTTGCAAACTAAAATGAACAAACTTACAAACTATGCAATTATATGCATACAAACTAATCTAAAGAAAAGGAAAAAAAATATAAAATCTTAACCTATTTGCTTAGATCCCCATGCTGCTTTTAGTTTCTTTGATTGATGTCTTATTTTCTGCTTGATTCTCTACAATTCCACCAGAGCTTGGGTTATTCCATCCTCAACAAAATAAGACAAAGAAAAAAAAAAACAGGTTAGAAATTGTATCACTGTATTAAAGAACAACACCAAAAGGAAAGGATACACTGGCACAAAAAACATTTTTAGAGATATTTATAAAGGGAAGGATACAATAAAATTTAATGTTAACTTATCCTTAATTGTTCTATATAATGACTTATATACAACAATTAAATACACTAACTAATGCAAATTGGATACTTTAAGTTACTAGAAGACTGATAGCTGAAACAAAGAATTCCAAAAAGTTTTGGATTAATGGTATATTCATCCAACAATCAAATAAAGGTCCGAGTTGATGTATATGAACTGGGTCTAAAATTGAGAACAATTTGTTAAAAACTAATCTAAAGTCAGAAAAATAAATGTAAAATGTTAACCTATTTGCTTAGATCACCATGCTGCTTTTAGTTTCTTTGATTGATGTCTTATTTTCTGCTTCATTCTCTTCAATGTATCCAGAGCTTTGGTTATTCCATCCTCAACAAAATAAGAAAAAAAATAAAAACAGGTTAGAAATTGTGTGTCCAATATTAAAGAACAACACCAAAAGGAAAGGATACACTGGCACAAAAAAGATTTTTAGACAATTAGAAGCAAAGAAGCAACGTGTTCAATATTCTACAAACTTATATACAGAAATTGAATAAAATGGAATTATTGGGCTGTGAAGTAAAAACTAATCATTCCTAGGGAAAGTAAAACATTCTTTAGATATTAAATATAATTGATGGCTAGCTATCATTACTAATAAGAGAAAACCCTTCAGTTCCACTTCGAATCGCAAAATCATTAAAAAAATATAAATTTGCTACAATGAACCAATCTACTGATAGCTGCCCCATCTAACTACAAAAATAGTTTTCCAGTTTGAGACCTCAGCCAGAGAGACAATTGACATTAGCAGTTGCAAGTACACACAATAGACAGTGCAATGAAGAAGATTACTAAGTCAACAATTATAGGCATCAAAAGGAAACCAAGTGAGCAAAATAAAGGTAAGTTCGAAACTTATCTTTTTTCATACTTTAAATGAAGCTTCATTTTTGCATCCCTATTGCTTTCCGATTCTGTTTATGCTCTCCATCTCCTCCAATAACTCCAGTATGTCCATAAAAAAAAAATAGATTAGAGATAACAGTATGAAAAATAGATTAGAGATTACTCCTCAAAAAGTAGATTATAGGTGAGTGTTTGTGTGAATAATAATATATTTATAGCATTTAGCACATGAAAAAAACACACTTAACTGTAACTTCTCAATCTGGTGTTTTTAGAGCAGCATTAAAAAGAACACGATTTAGAACCCTAATTGCGGTGAATCATACAAATCTGAAATTAAGAGATTTTATCTATGAGAATCGATCTGCATGCTTAACTATTCTTACTAAGGAGAAGAGATTACAGTATGAAAAATTGATCAATTTCGAATTGGACAACAGTCATGCATAAGAAACCCTAAACGAATTGACTGAAAGATGGAAGCATACTAATTAGAATGCTGTAATTTTTTTTTATTTGAAGAAATAAAGAGTATTTTTTTTCATTACAAACAACAAAGTCTATTTTAAGCCTAATACAAGAAATATTGTAGTACAACTAATCATGCATTGAGAATTATACCAGTTACATACTGTCAGTACAACTTAAACAGTCAAAATTAATGTATATACTCTACAGATTTGTGTAAAAATTCATACACATAGATAACTATTGCATAGCTAAAACAAAAAAAAAAAATTATCAATGGATTGAGAGTTCTACAAGTTACATACTGTCCTACGTCTTAAAAGAAAATGAATAATGAGCAGGTTAGTGAAACTTACTTTCGTAACTGAGGATGGATTGCATAAACTTAACACTGTAGAGCATAACCTGTAAATATAATTAAGATATCATATTAAGTAACACAATTACTTTTTACTATAAAATTAAAGTAGAATCTTTAATCCAATAAAAACAAGAGAGCTTAATATAAGTCAATACTTAATTTAAAGTTTAAGTATGAAAAAAAGCATAATGTTAAAAATAAGTATTACTTAATTTAAAGTTTAAGAACACTTACTTGACATTTCAGGTGCCAAGCCATTTGAACCTCCTTCAAATAAGTCATTTGGTCCCTGGAAATATACTGTTACAAAACAGTAGTCGGACATTAATAAGCCATAGCAATTATTAGTTTTCAATAGTACTTAATGACTATTTTTCAATAGATCTTTTTTTTTTTTTTTGTTTGTTTGTTTGTATCAGTACACAACATGTATATGAAATCTAGGCTGAAATTAAACAAATCAATGTAGAAGATACTTAGCTTTCTTCATGCTCGAATGTATGAAGCTACTCATTCTGCAAAAAAAAAAAAAAAAAAAAAAAAAAATTTAAAAAAATCCACCATCAACAACAATCAACACATTTAATCCCCACCCAAGTACTGGAAAAGTTAAATAGATTAGCCTAACAACGCACGCATTGCAAAATTTAAAGGAAAAAAAAATCCTAGACAAACAATTAAGTGAACCTAATGCACAAATCGGGTAAAATATTCATAGATTATGTCTTCTTAGACTTTAAATTGAAGAAATTCATAAACATAATCTACAAATGCTTGGCTAAATTAAACAAATTAGATAGATTTCATAGAAGGATTATACTTACAACGATGATGGTAGCAGCCTTCGTCTTCACTGTTAGCTTAGATTTATGGTAGTATGATTGCCAAATTTGTGATGCTTGAACAATGATTGCATCACAAATCTGGAAAATCAAGTAATATAGAGACATAGAGGTGATAGATAGATAGATGCAGAGAGAGAGAGCGATGGTGAGGAAGAGAAATGTGTGGGTGAGATATTCCGGGTAAGAAATGAACACAAAGCTTCCTGACCCTCCATTTTTGTTATATATATATATATATATATATATATATATATATATATATATATATATATATTGAAATGATGTGTGTGCACGTGTAACCTGCATAATACACGTGCACACACATCATTTCAATAGATATATATATATATATATATATATATATATATATATATATATATATATATATATATATATATTTGTATATAGAAATATATAAAAAAAAATTATAGAGATTAATTAATAGATAGTGTTTATATTAGAGATTTTTATATAATATATAATTTGTACTATTTCAATTTTTTTTTAAATTTTATTTGATTGTGTCTGTAGAAAATGAACCCGTATTTGTTTATGGACAGTTATATGATGCTGTATTCAGATTAAGTAACTCAGACGGTCTTAAGATATTAATTTGAGGCGAAACATAAAATAATTGTACTTACTGATGTAGTTTATAAAGAGATTTTTTATAATTTGTAATTTAATTTTTTCTACCAATAATATTTTTCCTTTTTTGCACAATAACACTTTATTTTTATTAAAATTGTATTTACCCCGTGCATCGCACAAGACAATATCTAGAAAAATACTAATTATGCTCCATATGAGAAAGCAAAATACTAAGTACATACCACCAAAGTTAAAAAATAGGAAAAAAAATGTGATTCAAAAGGCATAATAAAATAATGATTTAAGGAACAGAATCATTTAAACCTTTTTGTTAAATAGAAAGTCTACATTGTACGTAGCTGTTTCAAGTGTTAGTAATCCAATAAGTTTAAAATTTTTGATTTGTGGAGAACATGTACCATGTCTAAGTACGGCTAAAAAATGTTATGTCCAAAAGAAGTTTTCAACAATGTGTAATAAAATTTCATAGTTGATCATTTCAAATTTATTAGTTTTAAAATTGTATATTTTTTCATCTTATTATATTATACGAAATATTCTATATATATATATATATATATATATATATATATATATATATATATATATATATATATATATATATATATATATATATATAGCTGTGCATCACACGGGTGCAACTACTAGCTCTATAATAAAGCAACAACTTCTTGCAAATCAATTTCCCCCCAAATAAAAAGCTACCGTTTAGAGCCATAAGACAATTACAATCGTATTAAATGCTATTCACACACTTGGTTGCAGATTCTGAGGAGGCTTAGCCGAAATAACTCTTGGTTTTTAGAATAACTTTTGACAATTTGTTAAATTAAACTTAATAGATTAACAATAACGAAGAGGTAATAATCTTGAATGGTTTAATGGATGTTCTATGATTTATTGTTGTGGAGTAAAATAGTATTTACATTATAATCATATTTTATATTAAAATATTAAAAGTACTTTTAATACAAAGTCTTAATTTATGAAAAAATAAATTGTTTTAGTAAAGAAATAAAATTTGGTGTAATGGATTGGAGATAGAAAAAAAAAATGATATAAGAATATACAAGGAATATTTCTTATGGTGTAAAATTTGGTGCAGAGGCTTAGAGATGGCAATCGTTATTGTGTGGACTATAGTCCACAGAAGCTATGTGGATCATATTTTGTATGTTATAAAATAATGTATATTTAGTAAAAAAATAATGTACTTTTAGAATATTAAAAATGTACTTTGTATTCAAAGAAATTACATTATTTGAATACTACAAATATATTATTTGTATAATGTACATTCGGTACAAAAATAATGTACGTTTTAATATATTAAAAATGTACTTTCTTTTATGGTCCATACAGCACTATGTGGACCATGGTTCACACAATAATTTGCCTAGAGATAGTTTTAGGGTTAGGAGAAAACATTTTATTAATTGTTTTATTGGGTTCGGGTTATGTGCTACATTATTGGATTAGTTTTGGGTCAGATTATTTAGAAGAAAAAAATGAAAGAAATAAAGTTTGACCCAAGAATTTATTATATTTAGTATATTTGTTTAGTAAAAATTATAAAATAACATTGGTGTAATGGATTGGAGATGGAAATAATTTGATGTAAAAATATACTGAAGCGATTTGGCGTCTGTTTGGTTTTGATATACAGCTTAGGACGCCTTCAGTGGAAAGGTTAAGCTTTCACCTTCCTAATCAACAGAGTGTGATATTTGCAAATGATGCTGCTGTTGAGGACATTGTTAATAGACTTACTATAGCACAGAGCATGTTTTTGGAATGGTTTGAGGCAAATAAAGCATACCCCGATGCAAGAGAACTTACTTATGTTTAGATGCCAACACGATTCGTTTGGAAGAAAGACCTTAGAAAATGGTAGCCACAGTAAAAAGGGTTCTCAATCGGACGTATATTCTATGTCCCGCCAGCTACTGGAGAACTTTTCTATTTGAGGTGTTTGCTGAATAAAATCCGTGACAATGTGTTGGAAGGCCAGATCATGTGCGGTACAAATGCAGGAACCAGAGTATTGATTCCTAGGATGTCACTTACACCGTCAGATCCAAGATTGCCTTTCAAATTTCAATGAAAGCAATTTCCTTTGATGCTATCCTATGCCATGACAATCAACAAAAGTCAAGGACAAACGCTTGCTAAAGTGGGGTTGTTGTTGAAAAAACCTGTCTTTAACCATGGACAACTGTACGTAGCTGTTTCAAGAGTTAGTAACCCCAGGGGTTTGAAAATTTTGATTTGCGGGGAAAGTGTACCATGTCTTAGTACGACTAAAAATGTTGTGTACAAAGAAGTCTTCAATAATGTATAATAACATTCCAGAATTTATTATTTAAAATTTAGTATTTTTTTTAAATACTAGGTTTCTTATTATTATTATTATATTATTATTATATTATACGCAATATTCTATGTACTATATAGGTAGCCATGCATCACATTGTTTCAACAATGAAGTCTTCAACAATGTCTAATAAAATTACTATATTCATCAATGTGTAATAAAATCACAAGTTTTTCATTTCACATTTTGTGAGGTTCAAATAACTATATTCTATACTGTATATATATCATACTATATATATAGCCGCGCATCGCGCGGGTGCACCTACTAGTATACAATAATGGCAATAGTCAGTTGCCTAAAAAAATTTCTTCTCTGAAGCATTGCCACATAAA